GAAGTAAAAGAAAGAGGAGGCTATGAAGTAGAGAAATGGTATTTCATTATTTCCTTTTTTTCCCTCACACAAAGGGTTTCATCTGTGCAGTAAAATGTAAACATGAAGGTAGCTAACCCTGCTCTTGTAGTTCACTTCCAGATATTTTCAATTTTGCATCAGGGGTGAAAAATGACTTTCCTTCACTTTATCTGCACTTATAAAAACATGCCCAGTGATTCACAGCCCTGAAAAGACATTGTAGCCACCTTTGTGGACCACATTTTCTGTGGCAGACAAAACGCAAGGACAAACAACAAAAGACAGCTGCAGAGTCCTGTGCCCTTCCAGTCACAGGCAGCAGGGTCACAACTGTGCACCTGTCAAAATAAATGTCAGTGTTTTTTTTAACCTCCATCGAGGAAAAGATGTTACTTTATAGTATGTAGTTTAAATGCTGGTCCTCCTATTGTCATTAAATATTTTTGAAAAAAAGATAGCTGACTGGGGTAAATTAGTTGGTAATAGCTTTCTCCAACAGATACATACAGTAGATAAAATTAATTTTAAAAAAAAATCACTTTTACTCCTGACTTTGAAAGAAATATAATATTTGCAAAAAAAAAATAAAAAAAATCTGAAAGTGTGTTGGTTCGTCTTTAAAAAATCTGAAAGTGTGTTGGTTCGTCTTGCTTGCTAACAACTCAATGACTTTTGTGACAGGTAAATGTGCTGTGAAAGGGTTGACAGTTAAAGAGTGGTAAGTAAAAGTCATTATACCTTAAGACTTTTGATTCAATCTTAGATGAAACTAATGCTTTTTAATAGAGTCTGTAAAAAACACAGATTTGATTGAGGTTTTTTTCTTCCTTTTTTCATATCTAGTAGTGAAAAAAAAAAAAATTCCAAACATCACACTGTCGTCAGCTTTGCACTCAATCCCTTGGATTTCCACCAGCACATTTGATGATTCTCCCCATGTACACAAGTTGTCATCAGAACCGTACTTATTGACTTTCAGTCTGCGTTCCCAGAGGACACATCCGAACAAATGTTTGAGAAGCCCTTCAAGTTCAAACACACACCCACTCCAAAGAGTCCGATTCTGACTGTAGTGGGTGTGTGCACATCACCACCAATGGCACCTTGACAGCAAAGACAGAGATTCATGGAACCATCATCACACCGGCTCAGTGTTTCATAATAAACAAGGCCGTCTGTCACTCTGGCTATTTCACTGTCCTGGCTCTTCCCAACATACAACACACAGGGATTCTCTTTCTTTTCAATTTACTAAATTAATTTAGAGAAAGGTCTGCCCAAGAATCAAGAGACATGTTAACAATCTGCTGCATACAGAGTACATTCCACCCTCCAACAGGTAAACACACCTATGTGATGTTCCCCCCACTGTGTCAACATAATGACCTTTTTTAAACTGCAGAGGTCAAATGCAGCAAAACATGTCAGGCCATTATAATTATATGGAAAATATGTAGGCAAATCCTCTGATGTTAGTCTATTTAACAAAAATGTTAAGAAGTAAGTTTGTTTTTTAGGGAGTGTAGCAGGTTAGTGTTACTTTCTTGGCGGATTTTTAGGCAAATCCTCTGATGTTAGGGAGTGTAGGAGGTTAGTGTTACTTTCTTGGCGGATTTTCACCGAAAGTTGGAGCTTACATACAATTACATATTACATATCACAACATATGTAGGAAAACAGAACCTGGCCGGGAAACTAACGCTTTTACGTGGGTTGTATACCGAGGTATTAATACCAAGTACTGTTCTCTCATAACCTAATTGATGCTGATACACGAGACCACTGTGTGAACTAATAATGGGGTCTTTGAAAGTCATGAGATAACCCACAAGACCATTCTTTTTAATTACAGCCATTTTACAGCAGCGCCCCCTTGTGATTAATTAATAGCCATATTGTTAAAAGGGAGGGTTTATCAGAGAGGCAGGACCACAGAACGATAGTCAACGAAACTGGGAACATACAGAAACATTTTCCTCACACACATCTAGTATTCCCATCAGCCATCTTGACAGACAGGGAATGGTCTAATCGTTTTTTACAAATGACTTTCTCCTCTCATCTGTCCTCCGCCTAAATGTAGACCAATGACTTTAAACATCACACGGCAGCACTGCTGATTCATAACCATTATCCCTGGGCCTTTGATAACGTACAGACACAGGCACCCCGAGAAGGAAAAATGACAAAAGACACAGGGAATGGTGAAGAGTGGGGGGAGGATTGGAGCGAGAACGAGCGATGAAGTTCGATCTTAGATTTCCCGCTGGCCCTGAGCTATCAGAGCCATTGATTGGCTCATGTAATACTGCTCTGATTTGGCTCAGCCAATCAATGGGCTGCAATCTCGCTTCCTGTGACTCTGCAGCCATTAGACTAGTGGGGGAAAATCCTATCGTTTGGTGTTTTTTTTTCTGATTTTTGCAGTTTTTAAACCGACTAGTATCTCAACAAAGGCATTAACTCATATCTGAGAAAACGTATTCTTGAAATCATAAGAACATTTTAAATTCATGTTCATGCTTTTGTTTGCACAGCAGCTATAAGATAATCTATAGAAACACTATAATTTACTCTACCTTGGTTTTGATAACTAATCATTTGTTCTATTTTTGTGGTCATAACCTACTTTTCCATCTTTCCCCTACATTATTCTATCTGCTGCAGCCGCTACTCATTTCCCCTCCGCACGGATCAATATGGCTTCATCTACTGTAACTTCATCTTGGGGGTCATTTTAACTGAAAAATGTCAACAAACTCAGACACAGCCATTTTGGTTTTTAAAGCACTTGAGAAGAATGTTGGATTTCCACGTTTCTGGTTTCATCTACTATAGCTACGAAAAGAAAAATCTGCCTTTTAAAAAATGTGATGAAGAAGTCACTAAGAATGTCACCAGACGTGATTCATCAAAGACAGATTTAGTGGATAGGAATACAATGATGGACGTGTGGGCTGGGATTATAATTCAGAGGATTGTTAGCAGTAGCAACAAAACCAAGGAAGTCAAACACTAGTCACTAAACCATAAACTAAACCATAAACTACAAATGTGTTTTTCTTTCCTCCATATGGAATACAACCAGCGGTGACAATGTGGAATTTAAATATCAAGATGCTTTTTAACCAAAAACAAAATGAAGAGTTATCCGAACATAGCTAGCCACAAAACATGTCGTAAAGCCCCGAGCCGGCCAAACATAATTCTGAGAAAGACTGAAGTAATAATAATAATGTAAAAATTATATTTTGCAACCCAGGTCTGAGCTCTAGGCTTTGGACACGACTGGTTTACACCATGTGAAATCAAATGACATCAAAGGTCATTTCTACCACTCAAAATCACCGTGTTTATATTTGTTCTTTAGTTTCATTTTAGGTTGTGTGTGCATTCAGGTGTGCGCTGCACAATGATATGGCTTTGATCGATTGCAGAGAATGTCAGCCCCGAGATCCGGTTGGATTTAAAAGGTCAAGGTTAGATTTGAGGAGGGGTAAAAGCAAGATTTAGACGCAAGACGTAAAGTGTCCTAATCTGAAGCAATAAAGACAAAATCTCAATCCTTCACTAGTGAACACACACATACACGCACACACACAGACATGATTACTAAGCAAACACAACAGCACTTCATTCTCTGCTTAATTTAGCTATTGATTTTTCAAACACCAGATCACACTATAGATAGCAGAAGACATCAGGCTGCAGGGTTTTATGGTCTTTACCTTCACCCGCCCCCTCACTGTTCACACACACACTCACACTCAAGTGCAAATGCACATGAGGGACACACACTTCTCAAGGGTGATAACTGAAATCACTGTCCTCTTCTGTTAGGAGTCCTGACACTGTCAGTGTGTATAATTTGCCCCAATCAGATGTGAAGCAGTGGACGCTCATAGACTTTGTTGTACTGAATGGTGCCATAAGCACACACACACACACACACACACACACAACATAAGCCACAAATCAAACCCACAATATCAGTTACTGCAGACGATGCTCATTATATCACGCAATCAAATTCTCAAGCCTCTACAGCAGTCGCCGAATGTTCACTCTTTAAGGGAAAACCCTGTTACTGGCACTTTGTGAACCGCTGTGTTTTCATATTGCTACAACCTGGAGGCAACAAAACAGTACAATCTCAGAAGACAACAAACCCAACCAGTGAACTATGGCAGCAAGACAATGTTTTAATCAAATTATCTTTGCTACGGATAAGAAAAGAAAGACAATGTTGAATTAATTCTCATTACAGAGGACGGCTGTGTGCTGCAGAAAAGAATCCGCCAAAATAAGGGCAAAATTTAGATTATTTAAGCATGATTCACCCATGAGTGACCAAAAAAAAATGAACCGTTTTTGTTTTTTCAATGGCAGTCTGTGTGGCTAGTTTTATATGGGGAAAAAATATAAAAAACAACTGAGAGGCAGTTTAACGTCAGTTTTATATGGGGTAAAAATATAAAAAACAACTGAGAGGCAGAGAGATGCCAGTGGTGCCACAACTGTCCTAGGAAAAATGGAGACTCACTGTTTGCTGAAGTCATTGAGATGCACTTAGCATCAGCAACTTTCTTTTGGTGTTGCCTTATTTCTGGAAGCCAATCGAGTATTTCACAGGATGAGCAGCTGCTAAATTATCAGACATAGTGGAAGCTACCGAAGACTGGTACGCAATTTAAAAACTTGGTGAATTCTCTAGAAGAAGATGTTAAGATGTTAAAATGTAAAACCCAAAATAGTCAATTTCCTGTTAGAGTCAAAAGACTTTTTTGCTCATAACAGACCCGAAACATAAACTTACACAATCGTCCACCAGTGGAAAAACTATTTGAAAATTAAAATGACCAAACCAAGTAGATATTATGAGATGTAAATTTACTCAATGTTTTATACTTTGAAAAACAGCCTATATGTGTTACCAAAAATAACATTCTTTTCAAAAAGGAACCGAAAAGATAACTTACAGGCGTTGGTGACGGCAAAGCTGTTGGCCGTTTCAATGTTGTCCACATGAGGGACCAGGTTGAAGGGGGCTTCAGAGGCGTTCGGGCTTGTGTTGTGTAGGAAGATCGCCAAACGAAAGGCTGTGTACTCCTGATCAGTGTTCCTGATGAACAGACCACCTGGAGAACAAGGCAGAGACACAGAGCTCAGGAAATGAGCATGACGAAAACCAGGGCAAAAGCAAACCTCACATTTACGACAGATATTTAAAAATCACAAGCGGAAATGTCCCATTCAGTCAAAATGAGAGGTAAGGATTGCATTGATTGATATTAAAAGCGCCGACTGAAACCCAGTGTTATAGCCCACATTTTTCTGGAGTGAGTAATTGTCTTTTTACATTTTAATGAGGCAGCACTGAGAGTGAGAAATGAAATACAGTACATCATCCTCCAGGAGGACTTCAAACTCTGAATCCCAGCCAAATTCCAACTGAGAATCCCCTGCTGAGGACCTCCTGCAGTACCCCCTGAGGGGTTGGAGTAAAGAAGTGAAAGTGAATCAAAGAGGAAAATAAGTTTTCTGTCAGCATCTGTGGAAAAAAGTCCTACATTACAGAGTTTTTGCTGATGTGCATCAAATACTTTACTGTGTGAACACCTTAAAGGACTCCCTGGGAAAACTGCAACTATAGAACATGTTGAGCTAGCTCTACCCATCATAATCATTAACTTTACATCTTTACTCTTTACATTTTCAACTCTTTCAATAAGATTGTGGTCTTGGTCGATGAGTTTAAGAAAACAACCTCCTACCTAGAAGAAAAGGGAAAATAGAGCAGAAAAGATGATGGGAAGCTCAATTAGCCAATCAGTTGTTTTTTCTTTTTTTTTCTTTTACAACCTAGTTCAGTTATGATTAGTCTCAAAGCACCTCATCAGGAAAAATGTTGAAATATTAATTTTTCGAGCAAAAACAAAAGAGGAAATAAATTGGCTTGTGTATATAAAATACCTTAAAACACAAATGTCAGGCTGTTGGACCACTGTTGTATTGCTTCCCACACAGTGTTAATGCCACAGTATAGGATCTCTGGCTCATTGAAGCTCAACAGAGTTTTATGGCGACAGAAGCTACAGCCTGTTTAACATACAAATCACCATTTACAAGGTAATGCAAGCGGCCAAATCCTGATGTATTTTTAACAGTTATCAACACAAGCTGCAGCTCCTTTATCAACTGTCCTCTGGATCATTTGACTTCTCACCTCTTGTTTTTTTTTCCTATTTCTTTTGGCCATCTCGGCACACAACTCCTCAAAGCTGCTCTCCGTTGTGCAAATGTCAGTCCGGGTTTGAAGTTAGAAGCAGTTAGTTTCACATTTTACAATCTGACTTAAGGCTACAGTTTTGTGATGGGAATGTGTGAATGTCATTTTAAGCAAAATGTCAGTGTATTTTTTAAGCTTGACCTCATTTAAATGGAAGCCTCACAACATTTAACTCTATTATGACCTTCTCCAAACAATGTCTACATTTTTCAAACAATGGGCTGTAGATTAATCATGATCAATCTTGATTCTAATTACGCAATTAATCATGATTAATTGAGATAAATCAAAGTATACACATTCAAGTACAGTCATCTCAGATTGGGCATTAGACCAAGTTTAGACATTGACTAAAATAATCTTCCAGAATAGTACTTGTAAGTTGTTAAAGGAATAGAGAAAGTTAAAGAACACAAATCAGTGAAGTGCTACTCATGTCCTTGGTCGCCCTGAAGACAGACACGCACCGTCATAATGTGTAAGATTACAAACTATTCTGTTTGTTTCTCCTTTCTGTTTATTCTTCTTCTACGACTAAATGAATAGGCGTCCAAAGGAGAGCGTGTTTACAGTTCCCCTGTTTGTGTACCCGTCTGCTCAGCAAACCTCCCGGTGATAATCAGTGTTGATTTTAGGAAGACAATTATAGGAGACGAATGAGTGTTTACTGGAGAGTCGTTGGTGTACTTTCTCAAAGAGCTGACGCAGCTCTAGAGTGGCTGCAACTCAAAACTATCAAAAGTGTTTGACAAAGTGCGGAAAAGGAGGAAACAAGGAAACGCTGACTTGAAGGGCGTTCTGTGGAGGTTATAATTTCAGGAGCAGTGGACAGAAGACACCTGCTTCACTCAAGGAGGGAGGTTCACTGCTTCGCCAACACACCTTTGTCAGGCTGGGATTCAAACTAGCAAAGTTTCGATAAGAAGTCCAATCCTTTAACCAAGCTTGGTGTCTTGGTGTTTTCAGCATGTCCCTGACTGACCCGAGACTGTGACCTCTGAGTGTCTTGCCGGAGGGTTCCAGGAGGATTTGAGTCCCACAATAATACAAAAGGATAAAGAAAAATCATTTGGAAAGCTTGTCGTTTCTCATCAGCCTTGCTGGCTGTGATGTGTCTGAACTAGGATTTGGGTGTCAGCAGGAGCTGCAAAAAACGATAAAGGCCAGGGGAAAGTCCCACAAATATGTTATGGTATTTATGGATTAACATGAAAAAAATATTTTGGGCTTTGGCTTTTACTGGAGTTCCAGAGACTTTAATAAAATACAATTATCGATTTTAATTGGATTGAATACCTTTTAGTGTCCAAGTAAAACACAGCAGAACAACAAAATTTGGTAATCTGCTCCAGTACATGTGTAATACCAACATAATGTGGCTAAAATAAGGGTTGATACAAATCAGACATGAAATAGTGGTAACTTACAGTTAATCAAAACAAACGATAGAATAACTTGAAACCAAAATAAAAGAAATGCAATATTTGGTAAAGACATAACTAATGACATAACTTAACTAACTAATGTTAACCTGGGATAGACAGGAAATATCAGAAATTAATAAAAGATAGCCATATCTGAAAGCCAAAGGACATATGGTTAACTGAAGTCACAGCAAAAGAGCCTATGCCAAAAAACATTAAGCATTATTGTCGAAAGTAATGAGATGTTTACTCCCTGTTGGATATGGGAGAGTAACTAAAGTTCACCTCACGCTTGTAACTAGCAAAATACTCCCCCTACTTGTTGCAATCGGCAGTCCAACCATTAGATGTCACCAAGTATAACACATTGGACCTTTTAAATCATACGAGTAAATCTGCCTGTTTTAACAGCAGTAAAATGAACCATTAATCTAACACCTTTATTAGAGGAGGCAGTGATGCTGTGAGGCTTGTGGGACTGTGACACTGGGTTTATTACCGGGCCAGGACCAGAGGTCTGCAGGAGCAGCCAGTCAATACACAGGCAGGCAAGCAGGCATGCTGCCAACACACACACACACACACAGTTCCCCTAATTCCTGATTCCAGCACAAAGGCCAAATTTGGCCAAGAAAAATTAAACCATAGCCATAGTTAGCCACAATCATCTGAAAACCCTGGGAAACTTTATATATATAAGTTAATTTGACTTTTATTTCAAGTTTAGCTCTAGAATACTTAAAATGCTGAATATATATATATATGTGTATATATATATATATAAACTATACACTATATATATGAACTAGATATAGTACTTATAGAGACACACACAGATGTGTCTTGACTGAGGGCACAGTAATAGTTGTAGTTGTTCTACCAGTGCTGCATTTTATTGACCTGTCTGATGTGTACACACAGTCCAGCTCAGTGCCGCCATGTTTAGATGCCAGTGATGCCACAGTAAACAGGGCTCATCTATACGTGTTCCATCAGCCATTAGCTTTAGAGATGTTGGTTCCCGATGGGGCTTTTTTTTATAAATCTGATCCTATTTTCTACAGGTGATGAAAATAAACACACAAGCGTCTGCAGCCCACATCTGTGTTCTGTCAGTATATGAGACCATGTCACTTCTGCCCCTAAACAATTTCATGTTTACAATTTAGTCATTGTGTAGTGCAAACCTAGATTTCCACACAAAGTTTTTGTTAATGATTGCAACTAAAAAAAGGACAAATCTGGATGAAAAGAATGAAAACTGAACAAATATTGAAATCCTCAAAAATTAATGTTTTCAGAATTATTATTTTGTACAAACAAATAATAATCAGGAGGTTGCAAAGTTTTACCAAGAGAATACTTTTAATTTGCTTTTATTTATTTTTCTTTAATTAATATTACTTTTTTCTTTTCTTTTTTTTTCTTTCAGCATGAATCTGATTTCAAACAGGGGTTGCCCTTTTTTCACCTGCCCCGAAAATTGTTTCCGCCCGCCCCTGCGCACACACACATACACACACACACACGTTGCTGCTCAGATCTGCTGCAGTGGCGGATTGCACCGGGGATATTCACTCTATAGCCTGCAGATAGAGCGCATTAGGTGCATGTATGTCTGTGTCAGAATGTGCATGTGCGGGTGCACGTTTGGGTGAGTTAAGGGTGAGGGGAAAAAACAACATGAGGATAAATTTGAAAAAAAAATTTTTTTTGCTGGAGAAAAACGAAAAAAAAATCAGTGCCCACTTTGTGAATGTGTCAGGACAGAGGCGGAAGCAGCAACAGACAGGACCGTCCGTGCACACGCACGTGCACGCACTCACACACTTCACCCCGACATCCATCCATGCATGAATCCATTCAGTTCTTTTTTGTTTGTTTGTTGTTTAAATGTTTAAATGTACTCACCGATCTGAACGCTGCTCGGGAAAGCTCCCATCGTCAGTGCCCAAAAGCCGGAGAATATCAACAGAAACCAGTCTACTGCAGAAATCCTCATTTTGTCTCGGTTATAAACTGATGAGAGACATCGAGCAGCTTTCAATAACACCGCGACATGACGGGCTCTCCAATAAAACAACAAAAAACCAAAGGGGTAAAAAGAAAAAACATGTGTGGAATTGTCCCTCAAATATCCATGCCTGTCTTCTGGATGCTCTTCCTCTCTCTCCCCCCTTGCTCTCCCTCAATCCCCTCTCTCAGATGGATGGACGGACGGATGTTACTCCTCCTGCAGTGCCGCTCTCGCTCGTTTGTTGCCGTCAAACTGCATCTGTGAGTCCGGGGCTGGAGGTTTTGCGCACAACCAACACCGGGTGAAGGCAGAGGAGGAGGAGCAGGGGAGAGAGTGAGTGAGTGGAGTAGAGTGAGAGATTGTGAGGGAGGGGTGGGAGAGAAGAGAGGAGGTGGACGAGGGGAGAAGGTGGGGTGCATTAACCAGCGGCGGCCAGTGCGTCTGGATGCGGCTGCCTCTCATATCAACACGGCAACAGTACAGCATGCGCTTTTACTTTTTTATAAACATATCTAACCAGAGCGGGACAAGAGCAACAAACTCACAGACAAGAGCAGGACACCTAGTGTTTTTCGGGCGGAGAATTCTGTGCTCTCCGAACACGCCGCACAGAGTGAAGAAGTTTGAAAACTCTTGCCTACGTGTGTCGGCCCGCCTTTCTGTAACCCTGTTTAACGCGACACAATAACAACAATGGCGGAGAGCATGCTACTTCCGGCCGTGCGGGAGAAGCTAATTCGGTTATTTGGTGTGCTACAGTTAGCTATCTCCGACTTTTCGTGCTTCTCTTAGTTTAGTTCTAGTATATATATATCGCAAGCTTTATACGCCAGTTAGAGGGTGGGTGGCATAGCGCCACATACTGTACAGGCATGGTATTTGTAGTACAGGGACGGAGTCGTATCAGCGGCCATGTTTAAAAAGCTGAATCTTCGCTGTGTTCGTGTAAAAATGCTCCATTGCCGGGGATCCATGGTCGTATTGCGTCAGAGCTGTATAAACAGCGTCATGAATGACCATAAAACCCACCAATCAAAAGAGACGTTGGCAGGAAAAGGCGTTCCCGCAACAGTTGGATTGTAGAGTAGGTTGTTGCTGGCCTTCATGGTTCTTGCTACTTAAAAACACAGTGTAAATAAAAACTGTGTATTTACCCTGTTGTATGTGACTCTTTTGAAGCAGAAACTATAATTTATATGAAATTGTTAGAACGTTATGGTTTTTCATTTCTGCTGTTTTGTTGTTTCAACTTTTTGGTGCAATTTAAAAACCAGAATTCCCCATCAAAATTACAACCTTGGGTAAAAAAAAATGCTAATGAAACTGAGTGATTTCTTCACATCTGAGACACAAAGCAGGGATTTTTATCTTGTTTGCTGTGTGTGTTTAAACAAGCCAGGTTATGTATCAAAGCTGCAGTGATTTCAACATATGTAAAACAAACAATCTGGCTCAAAGAAGGATCAACAAATATTTGATCAACAGAATAACAAAGCAATGATAAATGTTTCTGTATCTGAGGTTTGAAACACTGGCCTCAGAACTTCAGTCTGACCGAAATCAACAGAACATGTCGTCGTATTAAAGTGGTGGGAGCAGGTGGGAGAAAACCTGGGGAGGTTTGCTTTGGAGCAAAGAGGAAAAAAGGTCGACAGGAGCAAGACACAAAACGTGTGTGTAAACGACAGCGAGGGGAGTCGAAAGATGAAGATGCAAGGAGAGGTGATGGAGGTAAATGAGTTTAAATACCCAGGGTCAACCATCCAACAGTGAGATGGTCCATTGGGGCGCCCCCTGAAGGAAACAGCCTGAAACAAAGAAGTAAAAGTAATCGATGGAAATTAAGGCTGTTTTTCATGCCTGGATTAATCTGCTGTGGCCGTTGTCTTCCTTAGTCACATGTCTACCAGTGTTTCCTTAGACTAATAGACGCTCACCTTCTTAGCTGGAGTTAAGCGACCATGGATGGACAAGGTTAAGACCGATTAGTAAAGCCACTGAAGTTGAGCAGCTTGAGCTCGGGGTTAGAAGGAAGACTTAGATGGTTTCATGTGTTGAGGGAAAGGAAACTTCCCGAGTCTCATGTGTGAAGCCCCTGAAGTCTACTGGGAGTAATCAGGTCTCTAATTGTGTCTGCATTAATGATGGTCTTTATTTCTTTCTTCCAAAGTCTCTTCACATCCGTCTTCCCAGGAGAACAGCCCTTCAATCATCATCATCATCCTCTTCATCCCTCTGGGTCTTCAGTAGGGATGTTTGGTTTTCTCCTCAGGTCGTCCCTCATTCTGCCACAGGCATTTTCTGTACTTTTTTTTTTCTTACAGGCATACACTTCACCCCCACTCCCCTGACCCCCCTCCCCTCCCCCACTGATAAACTGGACTGATTTCCCATGGGCCTGAGGAGTTTCTATTATTTCTGGTTCATGCTGTCTGACAGTGCTGTCTGCACATTGTTGTTAGGAAATTGGTGAAAAAATAAATAAAATAAAAAAATAGTAAAAAACAGAACAAAACACTGATTTCTGAACCTGACTCTCAACTACAGCTGAAGTCACACCTGTTACATTGTACTGTAGTCAGTTTATGGTGAATGTAAGAGACTGTTTGAACAGTGAATGTTTTTGGCCATGAAAGGCTAGTTCAACTTTTATTTTTTAATTTTATATATATATATATATATATATAAATGTTTGTAACCCCTTCAAACTAACTCTCAAAGCTTTTAGTAGACACTAAATTGCACATCATGCTAATTAATTACAGCATAGGTGTGAATGTGTTCTCAGGCGTTTTTAAATATCAGATTTATGACTGCATGAAAAATGTGTAGCTACAGCAAACTTATTTTGTATGTATTTTATGAACGCCTAATGTGTTTGTTATATCCAATAATATTTTTAATCTGTGCTCCAGGTGAGTGTTCTTAGCTTCACTAGGCTCTTTTAGGGACATTTAAAAAAATATAACAATCTTGTGTGAATGTTTCAACATCATAGTAAATTTAAAAGGCTGACAATTTGTCAGTGAAATAATCAATGCCTCCTTGTCCTTTTAGAAACAAAAAACCTTTCATGTTAATTGTTTTGTGGCAAATGAGCTCTGGTTTCTCCACATGAATCAATATTCAATTCATTCACAGACTTTCAGAACATGCTGCTCATACGTTGACGACACTGGAGGCTAATGTTTTTGGCTGTCTCTCAACAAGGTCTTATAGGTGGCATCATCATGAATGTAAGTCTGCAGTGTAATTATTATAAAGGCTGAAGTGTCTCCTTGGCAATTTGTGAATCTTTGCTCAATTTTGAGCTTTACTAGCTTTAATAAATAAAAAAAAGAAAGAAGGAAAATAGCCGCTTAGTGTTCACCACATCGGCAGAAAGCACAGTCCTTCATGGACAGTTAGGCAGATCCAAATCACACAGCTTGGAATGTTTCCATCACACTTTCATTTCCGTCTGAAAATATTTGCTTTGAAAGCAATCGAGAATGATGAGGGAAGTAGAAAGTGCAATGATGTTTGTCCTGCAGTTTGAGATTGTCAAATAAAAATGCAGCCTTTCATTTCCACAGATTAGATATGTTTGCAGCTTTTTCCACATACTCTTTATTTTTGCTATTTTTTGAAGAAAAAAAAACTGGACCGAAGTCATCAAGGAGCAACTGACTGAATAATGCTGGTAGAAGAGCGGAGGAAATATACTCACATGGAATTTTGATTATGTTTCTTTATCCAATTAATCCAACACATAAATAAATAATTATAAAGATTAGTAAATAGCTAATTTTCTATCAGCCTTCTAGCAGCAAAAATCATTAGAGAATCATAAATGTCAAAGTAACGATGAAGAACTCTGGATTTATTGCTATGGAGCTGTCCATGGTGCTGAAAACTGTAGTTCAGTATCTGGGGCAGCAGATAAAAAAGGATATTATATTATATTATATTATATTATATTATATTATATTATATTATATTATGGTGGAATAAATGTCCATAAAACTAAACCAAAATTCATTCTTTTATTTTATTCAACTATATGCAAATAATTTTAAAAGTGAACTAATTGGAAATCCAAGTGTATATAGAAAAAGGTCAACAATGGCTCCAAAAGCTCAAAAGTAAACATCACAAGGTTATATGTTATATATATATATATATATATATAGATAGATAGATAGATAGATAGATAGATAGATAGATAAAAACCCCACTCACTGCTATGAAATAACTGCCTGTCTTTGTCATGGTAAGTTCATACACAACTTCAGATGCTGAACTCCTATGATAACAATATTCTTCAAAATACAAAAGGAAAACCGCACAGGACGTACATCTAAATTTTAGCTTTGATGTTTTACAGGTGGAACTTTTTATTTTGTTTGTTTTGTTGTCATTTTCTTTGGACTTTTCTTTGGAAAGCAGATTTGAACAAAGCTGAGCTCACAAATAGCAGCTAGTCTGTAAAGACCCGCGAGTCAGACCTAACCTCACTCCCTGCTCCCCCTCGTCCTGCCTCAGTGGTCGGTGCTGTTTATTGTCTGGGACCGGCTCAGTCACACCACTCCCCAGCCCTAACTCTCTCCTCATTTCCCCACCATTTACTGCCCCGCTGTGGAAATCAATAACACGCCGTCTGAGGACCGCCGCCATTTAATGTGACATTTGATCCAGTTGTGGGTTATTTATGTGGAGGTGATGCAAATGAAGTCTTCCTCACTCTTCACCTCTGTGGGCAGTTATGACCCGTACGACGTGTCACGGCAATCTATTCTCATTATCAGACACCGTTAAAGCAAGAAAGTTAATAAGCCTCATATTAAGAAGAAAAGTCTAAGAGAAGTTTAGAAGTTAGCTTTGGATTAAGATAATCGTATTAACTCTTTGTTTTCTCATTTTTACCTTTGATACTGAGCAAGGACTTGGAGTTCTTGAACACAGTTTAATGAGACAAGTTAAATCACTAATGTTGCCACGACGTTGGCAGACTGAGCCACTGGATCTGATCCAGGTCAGGAAACAGTCTTAACAGCAGAGGATTTGAGGTTTGAAAAACTTCAACTGATCATCGCCAAAACGTTTTGATCTGTTTTTCATTTCATATTCTGACTGTTGCTGTTTACAACTAATTGATCGATGCCAACGTGTAGAACTGAACGACTTGATGGATTCATTTATTTTAACCATTGACATATTTTTCATACTCTCAACTCTTGGTAAATTTTATTGGCTCCTCTGTATAATGTATGGCTGTCTAAAGTTGCAGACACTGGAACTAAATATTTGCTTTTCTGCCACTGTTGTCAGTATCGAATTGTGACGGGGAAAATCAGACAAAATAAAAATCCACCTACAGAACTGAGAATGTACGATCTCAAAACTTTTGGTGCTGACAAACTTTTGACAGAACAATTTAAGGCCGTACAATAAAGGTTTCTTATTTCTGGAAATGAAAGAATGTTTGTAAACGCTGTGTTTCCATTAGTTTATTATTAATGTTGTCAGACGTCGACGGGCATTAATAGTCTCCACAGGGTGAATCTTAATGACTTTAGTTTTCGCCTGACTTTGCTCTTGTTTGTCGAATGAACCTCCTCAACAACTGCTGGTCTCCTGATTTCACATCTACATGAAATAGCTGCTTGGGTTTCTTTTTTTTATGCAACAACACATCAAAATGTTCAAAAACGTTCAAGTTTGGCAAAACTTCTGAGCGGAAATATGCTGCAAGACATTTTCCCCAGGGTGCAGTTGGAGACACGGCGCCTCTGCAGCGTCATTACAGCATCTACATGAAGATTACTTCTGCCATTATCAGCGGAAAGTGATGAACAAGCATCTCTGTAATGGTTATTACTTTAAAAACCATCATGAATGACAAAATCCAAATGTCCTTGAAGGAGAATATTATACAGCACACACTGAGGCTGAATGCAAAACAGTGACTCACTGAGTTTCCATTCAAACAGATCTGACGTCATAGGTTTGGTATTGCCGTAATTAAAGTATTTTGACAAAAAATTTGAATTTAACTTGTTATTAATTTAAACTGCTGCTCATGTCTACACTGTTATTTACATGTGAGTCATTAATCAAA